CCGCCCCCCTTCCGAAGCCCCGGGAGGCCCTGCTTCTCCCGCGGGCCCCGCGCAAGCCCCGGCCCCGCGCCGGTCCACTCGGCGCGGGGCGCCTCCCTCCTCCCCCTGCGCCCCAAACTCTGCATCCCCAGGAGCCGCCCGCGCCCTCCGCGTCCAGCCTCGCCCGGGGCCCATCGCTGGGCGCGCATCCCTCCTCCGCCCTCCCTCTGCGCCCGCGATGCCCGGCTCCTCACCGGCCGCAGGAATTTCACCGCTTCTTGACCGCCCCCCCTCCCCCCCCGCCTTATTTCCTGGGAAGCAAGTTGGGCAGCTTGATTTATACATTTTTCTTTTTGCGGGGAGAGTCGACTATCCCGGGTGCACCCGCAGGGGCTGGGCGGCGGGGAGAGGCGGGGGGTTCTCTCCGGCCCCTGCGCGGTTCCCGCGACCGGTTTTGTTTCCAGACCCCGAGGACCCCCGAACAATAATGCCATCGCCATGGCGGGCTCACCTGGTGCCGCGCCGCCTGCTCCGGGCGCCGGTGCCCTCGGCGCGCCCTCCCCGCGCGCAGGTTCGGCCCGCGCGGCGCCGGTGCGGGGCAGGACTCTTCGCCTTTCTTTAGGTCCTATCTGTGCGTGTCAATGGCGGCAAGCAGCAGTTCTCCGGGCCGCGGATAGCAGCGGGGGGAGGAGGCGGAGGGAGAAGGGATTGCTCCTTCTCCACATAACCACCTCTAGGAGGAGTTGCTCTGCCTCATCCCCCGCCAGCCCAGGCTCCGCGACGGGTCCAGGGCTCTCCGTGGGGCTTGATGAGCTATTGTCCTGCAGGAGCATTAATGAGGGGAGCGCGCGGCCTCCGCGGCGCCGGCGGACCTGCTGGGTGCTGGGAGGGCCCCTGGCTAGGACCAGGCTTCCCCCAGAGCCGGGGACCGGCGCTGTGGTCGCGATCCAGGGTCTGCAGGATCCACCTTTGGTGGAAGAAGATGTGGGCGACCCTGGGCAGTTCTGGGGAAGGCCTGAGAAGATGAAAGCAAAAATTGCCACCTTCGATGGGCTCGTGTCCTTTAGTCCTAATAAATACAGTAACGTTTGTGTCCACCACTGGGACGACAGCCTAGGGTGGCCACAGCCACAGGAACTGAGAATTTATGTCCACGCCTGTGGGCTTTTTTATAAAGTAAGACCGATTTAGAATCCAGCGTTGCGTCATATTTGGAGCAGCAGATGTATGTTTTGGTGATTATAACGGCATGGACATGATTTTTAATTCAGTTGCTTTACAGTATGTCAATTTGTAATATTTCAACTCTTACTAAGGTTAACACAAGGCTATTGTCCTAAGGACCAATTTTTATTAGTTTCTAGGAAATATTTTGATATATTTTGATTTAAATATATTTTTGACAATATCAGATGTGATAATGGGATTAGTGGTTGGTTTGTTTCTTCTGGAAGCCAGTCTCTTCTTTGTAACCCGAGATGTTGGCCAGGGCTCTATGGCTAGAGGGGTGAGTCAAAGGAATTTGTTTAATTTCAGTGGGAAATGCTAACTTGCTATGGGCTATCCGCACTTCCTCTGATTTCTTCTTGATAAAGGACTGTGAGAGGCAAAATTTTTGTTTTTCCACAAAAGAGAAACCCACAATTCTCTAAGCATTGAGCAAATGTGTGTGTTTTAAAGCTTCTCCCGTTTGGTAGTATTGTGTATATTTGCCCCTATAAATTTGTAAATGTTTAGGCAATGGGGAATCTTGGGGTGACTGAGAGCCTCCAATTGCTTGAGTGGGAAGAACCCGAATGCCCACTGCCTTCTGGATTCATACTAGTTGATCAGGGCTGTTGATGTGTTTAGTAGATAGCGCTTTAGACCACGTGCATTTTAAACAAGTGTTTGGGAAGTCAGCTGACTTACCCAAAGATCGTGGATGCATCATAAAGGTACAAGTAAACCTCTCACTGTTTAAATCTCATCTGGTTTCTTAAACTCTCCTGGACACAGTGGTCTCAGTTTAGTGAGGTTTCCTGCATTCTTCTTCCTACTCTTTACCCTCTCTCTAGATGACTTCACTGTCTTTGTCTTTGACCTGGTACTCTCTAGGTCAGAAGTCTAGTTGGGAGAAAGCCCTCTTTGCCCAAGACTTATATTTAAAGGGTTTCAAATGATCCCCTGGGCATCTGATAATGGTTTCAGCTTCCTCTTCCTATAGGAAGCGCCTCTCTCCCTTCTTACAGAGATTTCTGGCGTCCATTCTTGATCAGCATTAGCCTCCAGGCCAACATTCGGGAGGGTTCAGGAGCCTTCTGGGAGTGCTGGAGAAATGATCCAATCAGCCAGGCTGACTGAGATATCGTTTAATAATTTATCAATATATATTAGATTCACATTCTCCCTGTAACTTCCCAATACAAGTGACAGGTGTGGTCACTTTTATGTGCATATTATGTATCTCGTTTCATCCTAGCATTTTGTTTAGTGCTATTCTGAGAAAAACTGGGTCTAAGAAACTTGTCAGGATTCTCCCATATCCTACAGGTTAGTTTCTTCAAATAGATGATATAGTGGCAACTCAGAGACTCAAGGAGAATGTCAGGTTCATGATCCTCTTGTTCTTAGAAGGGGTCACAGAGTTCAAGCGCTTTATGTTATAGGGAGAGGTCTGGTATTCAGGTGGGTGAAGTGACTCACCCAAGGCCACCTGGGTAATTCGCGGCAGAGACTCTGGTGCATTACCATATACCCAGCTAATGTCATTTCCACCAACTCCAAACTTCTCAGGATGTATATGGGACAAATAGGCAACCTAATATGCAGATGTAGTTAAATTATAGCTATTTTATATTGAACATTTGACACATGAACCAAATTTAACACAGATAATATTGTATAGTTAAAATTAAAAATAGTCAACATGACTATCAACTCATCAGTAATCTTGAGTTTTGTAGTGGCTTCCAGCTCAGGGAACCTCTGGCAAGGTGAATAATTGTGGCAATAAGAATTTACACGTATTGAATACTTACTATGTGCACTGAGCTTTCCCCTTACCAACTCATTTAATCCTTACAACAACTCTATGGGGTGGGCACTATTTTCTCCCTTTGGCAGATGAAGAAACAGGCAGAGAATGGATGAGAAACATGCTCACAGTTACAAGGTTGGGAAGTGGCAGGTTCGTGCTCTTAATCCCTGCCTTAGTCTGGTGGTATGGATGTGTTTATTCTGTTTAAACAAAGGAATTTTGTGATTAGTCACATTATTGAACCATTACATATACATATCCTTGGACCTTTCCCAATACATATCCTCAAGCAGTCAGCAGAAAGACTAATTATAGGATGTTTGCTTGATTACTGTTGCACTGGAAATACTTCCTTAACCTTTGACCTGTATGTGTGCATAATATTATGAATAAATGTATTGATTGTGTGTTGACTCCATTAGCAACAAGGATGTCTAGTAAACATTTTACTGGGATGCAGGATAGACTTCTCCACTTAGAGACAGGCATGTAGCATGATTTAGATACTGAACAAATTAATCAACCATGCAATTAGATTCATATTCTATTAAGTCTACTCGTAATTCAGCCACAAAATCACCTATTTAAAAAATAGCTTCATGACTTTTGTCCCCCCAAACCTTTTATTTCTCATGATCCAAATTTATGATGTGTGAAGTGAGTGGGTTTTTATTTTCCATGATTAGTCCTAATGTAGTTTATGACACCTATTATAATTGGTGATCATTTTACCCTTCTGAAGTCTTGTTATGCAATCACCCTATTAATTTCCTGACCCTGGGCTCTTCCAGAAAGACCATGCCATGTGGGTATGTATTGATGTCTGACATATGTGTACATGATTTACATATCCAGAGTCTTTTTGTTTGAGGTTTCTCATCTTCTTTGAAGTAACCTGAGATTTCCTGGGAGTATTATAAAAGCAGATGGGGATCATTGGTTTAAGCTCTTCTTTGAATGTAAGAATTAAGGAGAATGTCAGGTTCATGATCCTCTTGTTCTTAGAAGGGGTCACAGAGTTCAAGCGCTTTATGTTATAGGGAGAGGTCTGGTATTCAGGTGGGTGAAGTGACTCACCCAAGGCCACCTGGGTAATTAGCGACAGAGACTCTGGTACTTTTCCATATACCCAGCTAATGTCGTTTCCACCAACTCCAAAGTTAGGCAATGCTAGACGTTATGTTAATTCCATCAAGGCACCAACTGGCATAACTCTAGATAGCAAGTTGGGCCCTGAGATTATGCATGCAGACAAAGCACCAAGCTAAATGGTACCTTTTTATTCTAAGACGTAAGTACAGCTTCTAAATGTACCTTATAGCCTGGAAAATACTAGGCAATCTGACTTAACATTTTTTATTAGCTAGAAATATGCAAAGTCTTTTCTAACCTGAAGATACGCTTTTTTATTGATTTTAGAGAGGGAGGGAGAGAGAAACATTGATGCGAAAAAGAAACATTGATCTGCTGCTCCCATACATGCCCCAAAGTGGGATCGAACCTGCAGCATAACCCGCAACCTGGGTATGTGCCATGACCAGGAATCGAACCCACAACCCTTTGGTGCACTGGACGATGCTCCAACCAACTGAACTACACCGGCCGGGGCTCCTGTTGTT